CCTGATGCGACACCGCGTTGCGTAGAGTAGAGTATAAAGGCGTTATTCGCGCACTCTCATCCGCGTGCATATAAAAATACAAGCAAGACAATGTTCGCAGGAGCGCAACATGGGCCAGACGACAGCAGGCCTTGCGTTCTCTAATCAAAGAGTATCACCGCGTCGTGGCTTTCAATCCGCGGATCTTTACAGACCCTCGGTGAACGCAGGAGAGGCCTGAGTACCACCCAGTGTTCAGAAATCATCCAGGTCCGCAGCCGTCGCGCCCTACTTCCCGAATTCTCCCGCGGGTCATAAAAAGAGGTTGTGACGCATATCGTGAGGGTGGTGCCTCGCTGACTCGCTGATCTTACTATTTTTCTCTTGTCTTTTGTCATATATTTTTTTTCTCTTTCTCTGTAATAATAAAAAGATCGCTACGACTAGTCACATATTGTTTTATTACTTTCCTTTTTTTTTATTCGCGCGGGTATCACTCCGCCGCGCTGAAGCGACTCGTCTTTAAGGGAGTTAAGGTTTCCGCTCGGCCCCGACTCTCTTCTGTCTTCCTTTTTCACTCTGACGGATCATATCCATCGCAAGGAGCCCGACCCTCCGCGTCTTCCGTTCTTGCGACGGCCTCTGAAAAACCAGGACGTGACAATTTTCTAATCTTTTTTGGCTCATCGTCCCTTTTCTAAGTTTTTTTTTGTTCAGCGCTCCCTTCGCGGATAATCTGGTAAATCGGATAACCGACAAATTATCTCTAAATAAAGCAAAAAAAAATTACAAAAACGAATAAAAAATTTACTCCCACAGCGGTGCTCCGCGCACGACACAAAATCATGCACGAATGTCCGCGCTCTATTAATAAACCCGGCAAAACAGGCACAAATGCATTTACTTCGATCATTCCGTACAAGAAAACATTAGCCAAAAAAGATTGCACATAATAAAAAAACAAATCTTTTATGTCGTATAACTTAAATTAATGTGTATGGAAAGTTGATTGACATATTAGATTTTTATAAAAATGCTTAACTGTATCATTTGTATAATGAAGTTAATATTTAAGTATTCGTTATGAAAAAAATTAGGGAATTAAATTTCTCTGGCGTGTTCTTTTGCCCATTTGCTCCTCAACGCCCCTCTATTGCCTTTAAGACTAACAACGGCCCCCTAGATCTCAGCGCCCACCGGAGGGTGATAACGCCCATTAAGAATCTATGATTTAAAGCATTTTAAAGTTGTGGTTTTAAGCCTTAAAATGCTTATTTCAAATATTGCTTCGTAATTATTTTTCGCAAAGATACGTAAACCTTTATTTTATTCTTTTTAACGCCAATTCTGAATGATCCTTTAACTTTAAAATAGAGTAACTTCGTCAAAAATGATCGTAATGACATTTTTATAAAAACATTTTAAAGATTGAAATCTCTACTGTTGATATCGGTAATTGATGTTTTAATCCGACTGATCCTTTACGGAACTATAAGGAACAAATAGGTACCCGTCAAATGTGAAAATTTTGTTCAAATTTTACAAATGTCTGTGGCGTAGAGTAAAATTCACCAAAAAATGCGGTTTAGAGCAGTCAAAAAAATGAATCTATATCTCCAAATTGCTTTTTTATTGAGCGTTGTACGATTTTTTTTCATCGAATTATTGAATGTTGAAGTAAAAAAGATTACTTTTGCTTCAACGTTCAATAATTCGGTGAAAAAAAATTGTACAACATCCCATGAAAAAGCAAATTGATTGGTAAAGATTCACTCTTTCGATTGCTGTAAATCGCATTTTTTGTAAATTTTGTTCTACGTCATAACAGTGAGAAATGACAATGGAATCGATGTTGAATCAACGTCGATTCGATTTCAATTCGATGATTTCGACGTCGAATCGACATCCATTCGATGTCGACTCCATTGTTATTCATTAATGGGATAGACCTTTGTAAAAGTAAAATTTTTCAGATTTGACGGCTACCCATTTTTATCCGTATATCTCCATAAAAGATCAGTCAGATTGAAATATCATGATATCGAAAGTAGAGATTTCAAACTTTCTAATGGTTTTCTGAGTTTTTATCTATGATGACCTTTCACCGAATTATGGTGTTCTGAATATTGAGCAATTTTGAGCGTGTTCGAAAGTGTTTCCTATACTTGGTTGAGTAGTGTAAGTCAGTTTTTTTGAGAAAAAAACACTCCAAATTAAATCACACTCATAACATTATACTTATCTTGAATATACACGTAAACTCATATTATAAAGATTGCCGCACAGTCCACTTATTGTCAGTATCTGCATTCAGCAGAAAGAGTAATTTTGGAACATGTTGCAGTCATCTTCGAAAAATATGTCACAATTCTGATACGGGATATTTTTAGGAGGTTATCTCTTACACCATTACATATTACAAATTCTTCAGACGTGACATTTTCCAACATTTCAATGTACTTTTAAATGCGACTGCGGTTTTTGTTAATTCATTTTTCAAAGATTTAATTTTATACAATAATTTTATTATATGACGAAGGATTTGGAATAAAATTATCTCTAATTTTGGTAAAACTACATATCACCGACGACCTCACCGATTACAATGACCTTCACATTTGTTGTTAAGGTCATGACCATAAGTCACCTCGAATTTTAACCGTCGCTCGTTATTCGTATCAAGTTATTAACAACAAAGTTTAAAAAAACAACAGTCTTTTGACTGCTATGGCCCGTTTCTACCAACGCAGTTTAAAAAGTTAATCCCTAGTGACGTTTGATTAACCAAAGTTTAGTAAAATATTGGCTTCTACCAATTTTTTTCTTAAGTTTAAACGTATATAAACTGAATTTAAATTGAACGGCCAATTTTGGCTGTTTAGAGGCAGTTGAACTGCGGTTAAGAAATATTACTAGTGTCAAACATGGCATATAACCTCGTACTGTTATCTTCCGATAACGAGGATATTATTATTGAACAATTTAATAGAAGAAAAAGAAGATTTAAACAACGTATTAATTATTTTGAGGAACGATATAGTTTAAAATGCGATTTCGATTTAGTAAAGCATCAGTGTTAGAAGTTTTAGAAAATATTAGAAATGAATTAGAATTCGGGACTGACAAGTAAATGAAAAAATTATAAAATAAATTTATAAATAAAAAATAATAAATAAAAATAAAAATAAAGATAATAACAATAATAAATAATAAATAAAAATTTATAAATAAATTTTTTTCTGAAATTATTTTACGAATATTTACAATTACAAATATAAATTAAAAATTTTTAATTAATACAAATAATTCTTTTTTAAGAAATAAAGCAGTATCTCCTAGGGAGCAATTGATGAAATTCAGTAGAAGACGTACTATTAAACTTTTATTCTATTACTTTCCAATATTTGTCCTTCTTTTTACAGGTTATCATATCAGATCTTTTATTTTCTATCACATCTTTATAATGAGTTGCTAAATCTATTAAAATAATTTTCTCGGCCTCCGAAAATTCGCAGCACATTTACGTTGTTTATTACTTATTATGTCTTCTACGTTCATTTTTAATTTAATTTGTAACGTTATGTTCCTTACACGAGTATTCACATAACACGATGCTGCACGTTGCCGTACAATACTGTTAGAACCAATATTGGACCAATCAACGACTGAGATTTAGTAATTTCTTTAAGTTATGACACATAGGTTATAAGTTTAGCTAAACGTTTGCATTGTAACGGTGATAGAAACCAATCAGCGCCAAATCTAGATTTAGTTTTAACAAAAGTTTGGCTAAACTGGAGATTAAGGCAAAAGTGGTAGAAACGGGCCTATATGAAACAAAAATGTTCTATTTTAAAATATATTTTACTACTTTTACGCGAAACAACTTTCACCTCATTGACAAGCAATTTAATAATTTGATGCCATCATCAAGCATCATATATTATAAAGATGTTAATATGTTAAAATTGTTAATAAATTTATTGCGAAAAATATTACCTCGGCCGGGACTTGAACCCGGACTTCTTGTATTCATTACGAGCGTCCTAAGCCATTAGACCACCGAAGCCTTAGTAATATTCTTCGCAATAATCGGTACAATAAGGAAACAACGTCTTTCTTTCAGGCGACGTAATCTAAACAATATCTTTGTTTTAGACCGTATATGTGAGAAACACAATCAATACTAGAAATTTAAAATGCCTATTACGTCGCCTGAAAGAAAGACGTTGTTTCCTTATTGTACCGATTATTGCGAAGAATATTACTAAGGCTTTGGTGGTCTAATGGCTTAGGACGCTCGTAAGGAATACAAGAGATCCGGGTTCAAGTCCCGGCCGAGGTAATATTTTTCGCAATAAATTTATATAAGGTTTTTAGCACATTGTCAGTTTAATTTAACTTGTGATATTATTGCAGTAGTTTAATTGCGTTAGATGAAGTCCGGAAAAATTTCGGCGCGCAGTTTGAATAACTACAAAAATATGATATATATGCATGTACATATATAATTTACGTAATATTGCATCTTAAGTTGCAATATTATTGCAATATTGTAATTTCAATATTATTGCAATATTACATGCCCTGTAGGATCGAAATTTCCATCTCGAAATCGGCGCTTCTGTTTGTCTAGTTAGAGCATCCTCTCCATAAACACGACAAATTCTTTCTGCGACTTGCGCAGCGTTTTTCCCTTTTTTATAATAAAAAAGTAAAATTTGTCGGATATGTTCCTGATTTTCATTCATTTTCAAATTTGATTGGATGCGTCAGTATCGTTCAAATCTATGATCAATCTATTTCAAAATGTATGAAATAACACCTTTCCAACGATATATAATCAAATACGTCACAAAATAATGGCACGTAAAAAATCGACCAGATCTCCATCTGTTGGCTACATGTAAAAAGACTTTTTCCCTAACCTAATATTATTATTGGATGAATATCTTGTTAATTAGACATTGTTGTTTATATTTTTGAACTGTTTTACTTTTATTCTTTTCTTTTAATTTTAGACATTGAATACAATATCAGCGGAAAAGAACTCTACCATCGTGTTTCCGCTACCAATCGATATGATGACATATTTTATGAAAGCTTTACCGAGGGAATAATTGTGTGAAAAAGAAAAAGAAAGAAAACGTACGTCACATTTTGCAGGATACAACAACGGAGAAGACGATCAACAACTTTTGAAGATTTATGAAAGATGTTTGGCGATTTATTCGTATATTTGACATGCTTGCGTATTACATCCATAGACTGTGTTCGGGGAGTGTGCTATCAGTACTATTATGATATATTCTCTTTTTACTGGCAGTGCAACCATAAAATAGATACGATGGACAAACGTACTAAATCAAAATATTAATATGCTTAATTACAGATCAATAGCAGTAGCGATAGTTCTTCCAAAGAACTTATTTGTTTGTATAACTAATACCCGAGTAGAAAATTGGATCTGGTCAACCTGACGTATGAATAATGCCGGAATTGCGCCCTGTCGAGGTATGCTGACTTGGCATCTGAGCAGGAAACACGTAGGCATGCCCTACTAAGGAATGCTAGACTTATGCCTTACTGAAAAATGCCTGAATTGCGACCTAACAACGGAAAGCTGGACTTGGGCCAGAATAAGACGTACCTTATGTGACTCTGTTTTATTTTTCTTTGCCAAAAAATTAATCAATAAATTGTTAAGTTAGGTTCTTAGACGAAACGAACGAACTGCATTTTTGACAATCAGCTTCTTGAGTCTACGACGAAATAAGTTATAATTGTGGAGTTCACAACTAATTGTCATGGAAAGTAATAAAAAAAAAACAAGATTTAATTCAGCAAAAAGTAGATAGATATCGGAAAGTTCGCCGTATTGATATGAGAGAATTTCTTGATATAGCAAGTAAGCATCAATGAAAATGTAATTTTGTTCTAATAAATATCAATGAAAATGTTGATATTTAAAATCAAGTAAATCAAAATTGCAGCTCTTCCATTAATATACTTTATTATAAGTCTAGATATATTGTTATTTTTTTTTTGTTATATCTCTATTACGGATTGAAAATCCATTATACAGACACCCATTCATACAAATACATAGGAAAAGAGAATTATTTTAATATACGGAGTGTCTTATTTTATATTTGACAGTCAAATATTTGTAATCGCCGAGTTTTAGAAAAAAATGGTTCAGAAAAAAGTTTTGTGATTCTAAGAGGGACATAAAATGGTACCATTGGTTTGACCTTGGGTGGCGTTGTAAAGGTTAGGGCAAATTCACATTGAATTTTTTAAATGAAACTCCACACACTTTTCATTGCATATTCTCATAGAAACACTTTGACAGTTTCTCGAAATACTTTAATAAAATATTTTCTAAATAAATACTTTTTGTGTTATAAGTCTTGAAAATTACACTACTGCTGGCATTAGTATTATTCAAAGTGTCCGATTGACGGTTAAAACGGTTACAATGCCACCCAAGGTCAAACCAATGGTACAAAAGACGTTATTTTGTCACCGTTATTCCTCTTCAATTCTAGGACTTTTATTTCAAACTTGCTTTTACTGTTTCCTTTATCTACTATTCTTGTTTACGGTGATTAAAATGAAACACCTTTATGTATTTTAACAATGTATCTTTTCAAATACAGTCATAATTCTAAAATGTACGTTTAAAAATGTTTATAAATGTTCATTTAATATTCTTTGTATGTTATACTTTGTATACTATTATAGATACAGTCATATTTCTAAATTTAAAAATATTGTACTTTTATTAGTTTGAATGCTGTAACTTGATAAAGACATCCAAATCAAGGTTTGAGAATTCGATTACGTGAAACGTCAGACTGTAATCGAGTATAATCACTCGGGCTCAGACAATTGACTTAAATGTTCCCTGAAGTGAAATTTAGTAACATTTCGGCTGGCGTATAACCTGACTATATAAACTATTTAAGTCAATATTGAATAGTCAGTATATTATATTTGAAAGGGCATAAAAAAGAAAATTTTTAGTTCAATGATTAGGCCCAAGTAAGCAATTCCCAACTAGGGCATATCCTACATTTTATGATCAGGCCCTAATCACGTTGCATGATGAGTACCTCACCAGTAGAGCAAGAATAAGGCATACCCTATCACTTCCTGATCATGCCCAAGTGAGGAATTCTCAACTAGGGCATACGCTGCACTCTCTGATCAGGCCCTAATCACGTTGTCTGATCAGTACCTAACCAGTAGAGCAAGATTAAGGCATACCCTATCACTTCCTGATCAAGCCCAAGTCAGGAATTCTCATCTAGGGCATACCCTACACTCTTTGACCAGGCCCTAATCACGTTGCCTGATTGGTACCTAACCAGTACAACAAGATTAAGGCATATCCTACCATTTCCTGATCAGGCCCAAGTGAGGATATGACCAACTAGGGCATATCCTACGCTTTCTGATGAGGGCCATTTAATACGTAACGTTACATTCAATATCAGGGCCCTATTAGAGAGACTGCCAGATCCGTACCTGATCTGAAGTAGGGCAAGCCATACCTGAAGAGAGCCATACGAAAATTTCTACTCGGGTAACTATTTTTTACGCTCCCTTATTCGACGCTATATATTGCACTGTAATTGCCTTATCTCGAGAGCTACAGTAATCGCAGTGGAAATATGGCTATCACTTATACAGGATTGGCAACGTTACCTCAGAAAAATAACTGGCGCGTTAGTGGTACCGTTCTTTTTCCTAAAAAGTAATTCGTTATCGTTACTCGTTATTGATTTGCAAAAGTAACTCATTATCGTTACCATCACTCAAAATGTAACGAGTCGTTATTTTTTTGTTATTTTTTTTTACACTAATAGAATATTATAGCGTTTTTCAGTGGTAGAACTCAGTGCACTTTAAAGCTGTTATACACAAATCGATGTAAAGATGTATGCTTAATAAAAATATAGAAACGAGTTATACCTCGAAATCATCAATACATTTTATTATGCCATTCGATAAAATATCGAATAGCTTTGAGCATTTTATCAATAGAGATATCTCATTTTTACATTCAGATTAGAATGTAGTGCGCACTAGTTCTACCAATGAAAAACGCTATTATTTTTTTGTTTGCAGGGGGAGAAAAATCTTTGTAAGCCCAACCATCCGAGGACGACTCAAAGAGATGTCCTCGGATGGAAGGGAAGACACCCAGGGCCCGAGATCCCTGGGCGTGTAGGATTCGATGCGGCTGCATCCCTGGGGATGATTGTCCCATCGTCTAACTATTGAAAAACTCCCCCCCCCCCCTATGAGCAACTACCGCACGAGCACTAAGGAGGATGCCCCGGAATCGTCTACTCGACATTTCATGAGGGCAGATTTTTGCGATAAATATTCTAAAGAGAAGTCAGAATTCCATCTTTTAGTAGAGAAATAAAGCTCAAAATCTGATAAATGTGTATATATATATGTATATATACAGGGTGTTTGGCGACTACCGCATTTTTTGTCATACGTGGGTAGAACAGCCTATACTGAATCAAAAAGTCCTGTACCATTTTG